TATTATATAATTTTGAAAAAACATCATAGATGGATTAATGAAAATGTGTATATTAACGTAATATACGACCAGAGGCGTCGTAAGGGGGGGGGGGGCCGCCCCGGGTGACACCATTTAGGGGGTGATACCATAGAGCCTCTAAAGAAGGTGACACTAATGCACAAAACATCGCCTCACCAACATAAGAGAAGAATCCTTCATTGATTTTGATGATTTGATAGAATGATTTTGATGATGTGATGATTCTGCATATTGAAAGCAAGGAAATGTAAGATCAGATTCACTGAGATGTTACCTGTACTCATGGTCAAATCAGAACTAGTGTTTCTCTGATATTGCAATGTTTTTCTTTATTTTTCAAGTTTTTTCTTTTTGTTTTGGCATTGTTGAAGATGAATAAATGTAGGATCTGTTGCCTGTACTCAAAGTGGTATTTGAGTTTGTTTCCTCAATATTACTACGATTATTTATCATTAATAAAGTTGAGAAGTATTCTCCTGTTCGGTTTATGGCCCTTAAACGTTCTCATTGTTAAACATTTGTCACTGACTGGTCATGCAGTAGTGACGTAACTGGAGTTTACCCCCCATCCCCCTGCCCTTGAATTTCATGAGGGTGACACCAAAGATGCCACCCCGGGTGACACCAACTCTAGCGACGCCAGCCCACCATTCTCGCAGTACTGGTTGCTTATGTCTCGCACTAACCTCCTTCTCCCTTAGTTTATAAACTTTCACCTCTCTCTCTCTTACTTGCTGTTGCTGTTTACCTTTTGCTCCATCAACCTCTTACTCTAACTGCAGCTACAACTGAATAATGATCCCATATATCTGTTGCCCCTCTATAAACATACACATCATGAAGTCTATCCATCAACCTTTTTTCCACCAATGTATAATCTAACAAACTACGTACTTTCATTAGGTACTATGTCATATCTTGTATACTAATTTATCCTCATTTTCTTACAATAAAGTGGAACCCCGATTTTTGTCCAGTCCGGTTATCGTACAATTCAGTTTTTGATCACTTTTTTTTCGGTGAAATTTTCCTCGTTTTCATACATCTGCTCAGAAATCGTCCATACCAGATGCATCTACCTGCCACTCATATGTTCGTGACTCAGTCTGCCTCTGTTACTCCTTCAGTGAGCATTACTCTGCGCATTCATCCGAAACATTTCATAATACATGTAATCCATTGCTTTTTGTGCTTGCGACTGCTAAATAACCCACCATGGGACTAAAGAAAGTTCCAAGTGCCAGATTTTTTGTGCGACGGGTCCAGTGACTCTCAAGCTTGTCCTAGTGCCAGTAAAAGACAATGAAGGGAAGTAACCCCAGATAGGGCTTAGATACCTGAAGTCCTTATGGAGGGGGATTCCCGTTTCAAACAATAACCTCTCTTCCCTCTCCCCTCCTTGTCTTTCATATACCAACAAGAGTCTTCAATAAAGGTAAAAGTGATGTTCAGTGTTCATTTATCCATTTCTTTAATCATTTATATTTATTTCTCATTTTTTCTTTGTAAAACTATAGTTATTCTCTATAAAATGTATTTTTTGTTAATAGTTATGGGTGTTGGAACACCCATGTTATTTCAGTTTTTGTACAAATTGGTTTTCGGCTGACCTTCTGGAACGGATTAAAGACGAAAACAGGTTCCATTGCATGTATTACTTACAGTGGACCCTCGAGTTTCGTGATTAGACTCATGTTTCGGCTACTGTCCGGTACCCGTCCACCCGTCACCACGCACACAAAGCCAGTCTCCCACGCCATTCACTCTGTGTGCCATTGTTTACCAACACATGACCATTACCCCGTGGGTTCATACAATACATTTCATAATAATCCATTGTTTTTTGTGCTTGCAACTGCTAAATAAGTCATCATGAACCCAAGGAAAGCTAGTGCAAGCCCTTTGGTAACCACTGACAAACTGCAAGAGCTTCAACTGGAATAGCATCAGACCACAGCTGAGGAACTTGCTTCAGAGGAGGAGGAAAAGAGAGTGAAGGAGGTTCCTTCTTCAGTGATTAAAGACATGTGTGGAATGAGTTGCAAAGTTTTGTTGAAAAGTATCACCCTGACCAAGATGAAACAAGCCATATCTGCAACATGTGCAATGACAGTGTTGTGTCCCACTTCAGGGAAATCCTAAAGAAACGCCAGAAAAAGACCTCTCTGGACAGATACTTTGTGCGACAGGGGTCCAGTGACTCTCAAGTTGTTCCCAGTGGCATTAAAAGAAGAAGGGAAGTAACCCCAGATAAGGACTTCATACATGAAGTCCTAATGGAAGGAGATTCTCCTTCCAAACAATAGTGTACACCTTCCTCCTATCCCCTCCCTTCCCTTTTTCCATCCACACAGAAGTCTTCAGTAAAGGTAAGTGTAATGTTATTATTTTTTTAAATGCATGTACTTGATTTCTGATTTTCATTATGTAAATCTTTATTTAATTTGAAAAAAATATTTTATTTTAATATTTTTGGGTGTCTGGAACGGATTAATTTTATTTCCATTATTTCTTATGGGAAAATGGTTTCGAGTTTCGTGAATTTCAGCATTCGGCAGGCTCTCTGGAACAGATTAATCACGAAACTCGGGAGTCCACTGTATTACCAAACCTCAATCTAGACATAGTTCAATTGAAGGCCTCCCCATTTTCATTTACCCCAGGTACCCCAAACTTGCCTACTACTCCCTCCACAACATTTTTACCCACTTTAGCATTTAGGTCCCCCACCACAAGTACTCTCTCACTTCCTTCTAAACTCCCCATGCACTCACCCAATATCTCCCAAAATCTCTCTCCTCTACACTTCTTTCTTCTCCAAGTGCATAAACACTTATAAACCACTTCACATCCGACCCTTATTTTACTCCACATAATCCTTGAATTTTTACATTTACACTCTTTTTCCTGCCATAACTGATCCTTCAACAATATTGCTACTCCTTCCTTAGCTTTCACTCTATTAGAAACCCCTGACCTAATCCCATTTATTTCTCTCCACTGAAACTCTTCTACCCCTTTCAGTTTTGTTTCACTTAGAGCCAGAACATCCAGCTTCTTTTCTTTCATAACATCCACAATCATCTCTTCCAACATCCATGCACATTCAAGCATCCCTACTTAAAGGTTTTATTTTTATTTTTAGTAAACTGTATGGGAAAAGGGGCTACTAGCCCATTTCTCCCGGCATTTTAGTTGACTTTTACAGCACACATGGCTTACGAAGGAAAATTTCTTATTTCAGTTCCCCAGGGATATGAAAGGAAAATAATAAGAACAAGGACTATTAAGAAAAAACCAAAGAAAACTCAGATGAGTGTGTATATATAAATGTGTACATGCATGTATAGTGTGACCTAATTGTAAGTAAAAGTAGCAAGATATACCTGTTAGCTTGTGTGTTTATGAGACAAAAAAGACACTAGCACTCCTACCATCATGTAAAATAAATACAAGTTTCTGTCTTACACTGATTTGTGAGGACAGTAGTACCTCCGTGGGTGATTACTGTCTACCAGTCTACTACTAATATTAAAATATATGCACTTATCCGTTTACGTTATACAGTAATGAAGTTGATAAGGTGGGTGTAGGTGAACGGTCATATATCACTATGTATCACTTTAGCCAGTCAGAGATTCTCTTACGCAGGTGGAAGGAGTAAGTTCTTATGAAGCTTCTCTATTTGGTGCTTTTTTTTTGGGGGGGGGGGTGAATTTTATTGAAAAATTACTTCTACACTTGAATATCATGTTGAAAGGCCTTCATAGTACACACTAATTAATTTTGGATGCACTTTTTTTTAGTTGCATTCACAAAAAATATAACACTAGAGGAGCTTACAGGTGGAAGCTAACCTACATAGTTGGATTCTATATACAGTGGACCCCCAGTTAACGATATTTTTTCACTCCAGAAGTATGTTCAGGTGCCAATACTGACCGAATTTGTTCCCATAAGGAATATTGTGAAGTAGATTAGTCCATTTCAGACCCCCAAACATACACTTACATAATTGGTCGCATTCGGAGGTGATCGTTATGCGGGGGTCCACTGTATATTTATGTGGAAGCACTAAACCCATAGGGGTCATACAGTGCCTGGAGAATAAGAGAAAATTATTGTCAGTCCAAGGAAGGGAAGGACAATTCCAGTTTCTTGGATAAAGTGCCCCTTGCCTGCAATAAGGACCCCTTCCTTGAGCAGTACATAGGCAGGAAGACTCCTACATAGGTGGGTGACAAACACTGGCAAGATAAACACAGGTGAAACACACTTGTGGGAGAGGGGGTATGTTGTGTCACTACTATGACTTCATCAAAGTTAAAGTTTACTTATCAGATCGATATTCTAATAAGAAAGAATAGTTAACCACATTTACATAAGTCAAAAACTGATGCACTTACGTTTACCGCTAAAAGGTCGAGTAGTTCCCCAGGCCTCATCAGACACCATCTAAACTTTTTAGAAATGTTGTATTCAAGATTATCTTTGGAATTCAGAGTCCCACTATCAGAGCCCCTATCAGTTAAACAAATAATTTTTCCAGCTTTGTGTTGGCTTACATTAGTGTGTAGTATTAAGAGAAATAAATGGTAACACTATGGCAGGGTATACTGACTATATAAAAGCACATGATGTGGGTTATGACATTTTATTATGAAAGTATTTCTTAACCCTTAAACGGTCCAAACAGATCGACGTTCAAATCCGTAGTGCTCCAAAAGTAGATCTACGTTTTTTTACATATTTTCGAACATAACAAAAAATCAAATGTTGAAAAAATGTATATATATGTTTGGACCATTTAAGGGTTAAAGGACTTCATTAGTTTATAATGAAATCCTTGGTGGATTAATTTTCTTCACAATGAAATGCCATAACCCTTACTGTTATGACTTCTAGATTTACTCATACAGTCAGTTGTCTTCCCATATTGTTCTGTGATGTACTATTAATTAGAAGTTTTCTTCTTGCAGTTGTGGAAGGTTCAATGGACTGGTCCAATAACTTCAGCAACTACTTTCCACACTGAAGGCAGCCATGTGGAGGTCTGTAGCAGATGTTGATGATAAGCAGAAACAGTCATCCCTTTGGTCTGCTTGTCGAGGATCTCTGCTTCGGTGAGGGATGTAGAAGCAGGTAGGTGGCAAGGAAAAGGGGACTGGAGGGATATAAAGATAAAAAAAGGAAAGGGCAAAGAGGGAGAGTAGAAAGAGAAATGGGAGGCAGATGGAAAGAAAGATTTAGGAAAGGGAGGAAATAGAAGTGTAAGGTGAGGAAGAGGGAAAGCACAAAAAGGGGTTAGGAAATGCAAACACACGAGAGGAATAAGGAAGAAAAAAGGAGAGGGAGTAACAGAGGGGTCCACTGTATTTACTGTTGTAAAAGCTTGGATATCTCTGTAACAAAACTTTATAACCAAGTTTTCTCCTGTTTAAGTCGAATATTAAACTTTCATTCCAGTGAAAGGAGTTGACAGAGAAAGTTCCTTTAACACAAAACTGATGTTCTTCAACTTCGCCAGAGAGTGAGAGATGGCGGCCACCATCAAGTATTTCTTGATGCATGTGACAACTGTAAGCTTCCCAAGTGCCATCTTTAAGTGTGATGCCTACTTTAATGTAGTAATCATTAAGGTGTTTGGTTGACTCCAAGTTTAGGATCAGGATTCATGGATATCTTTTAGGAGTGGTGAGTGCAAAGACTTTGTCAGAACCCCATGCATTTTGAGAAGCTCCTCTTGATCATTTTTTACTACTAAGTGTATCCTATGGACCAATAAACCTTACCTCCATAGTGGGAAAATTTATGGAATCTATAATTGCCAAAGCAATTTGTAGCCATCTCGAAAGGCATAAATTGATTAATGAATCTCAGCACGGTTTTACAAGGGGGCATTCCTGTCTTACGAATTTATTAACTTTCTTCACTAAGGTATTTGAGGAGGTCTATCATGGTATTGAATATGATATTGTGTATATGGACTTCAGTAAGGCTTTCGATAGAGTTTCACATCAGAAGCTATTGGGGGAAACTTAAGGCACACGGAATAGGAGAAATTTTTTACTGGGTTGAGGCATGGTTGACGAATAGGCAGCAGAGAGTTTGCATAAATGGGGAAAAATCAGAGTGGGGGCATGTCACAAGCGTGTTCCACAGGGTCAGTGTTGGGCCCCTTGTTGTTCACAATCTACATAAACGACATAAGCAAATTTGCTGATAACACCAAGATAGGCCATCCAATTCATTCTAATGAGGACATTAGAGCACTCCAGGATGATTTGAATAAACTCATGCAGTGGTCAGAGAAGTGGCAGATGCAGTTTAATATAGACAAATGCAAAGTTCTAAATGTTAGACAGGAAAATAACCATGCTACATCAAACTACCCCCCTGGCCAGTGCATGAAATTACCGCCTTCCTTTCTTTGTCGACATTTAAAAGTTCTTCAAGTATTCTCGCCATCTACCCAATACCTCCTCCCCATCTATTAACTCTCCTACTCTGTTTTAACTGACAAATCCATTTGTTCCCTATGCTTTCTTAACTTGTTTAACTCATTCCAAAATTTTTTTCTTATTTTCATTAAAATTTCTTGACAATGCCTCTCTCACCACTCTCTTCACCTTTCTTTTACTCTCCATATACCCTCTTCTTATAACACTTCTGCTTTGTAAAAAAACTCTCATAAGGTACCTTTTTCTCTTTTAACACACCTTTACTACATCATTCCACCAATTCACTTCCTCTTTCCTCCTGCACCCACCTCTTATAACCACAAACTTCTGCCCCACATTCTAATACTGAATTTTTAAAACTATTCTAACCCTCTTCAACCCCCCTACTACCATACTTTCACCAGCCCACCTTTCTGCCAATAGTTGCTTATATCTCGCGCCGAACTGCCTCCTCCTTTAGTTTATACACTTTCACATCCCTCTTACTTGTTGTTGCCATTTTCCTCTTGTCCCCATCTACCTCTTTAACTACAACTAAATAATGATCCGATATATCAGTTTGTCCTCTATAAACGTGTACATCCTGAAGCCTACCCATCAACCTTTTATCCACCAATACATAATCTAACAAACTATTTTCATACCTTGTATATTTATCCTCTTTTTCATAAAATATGTATTACTTATTACCAAACCTCTTTCTACACATAGCTCAATTAAAGGCTCCCCATTTTCATTTACCCCTGGCACCCCAAATTTACCTACTACTACAGCGCTGTATAGCCCTTGTGGCTTAGCGCTTCTTTTTGATTATAATAATAATAATACTTACTACTACCTCCACAACATTTTTACCCACTTTAGCATTGAAATCCCCAATCACAGGCACTCTCCATGCATTCACTCAACATTTCCAAAAATTTCTCTCTCTCCTCTACACTTCTCTCTTCTCCAGGTGCATATATACTTACTATAACCTGCTTTTCACATCCAACCTTTATTTTACTCCACATAATCCTTGAATTAATACATTTATACTCTTTTTCCTGCCATAGCTTGTCCTTCAACATTATTGCTACTCTTTCTTTAGCTCTAACTCTATTTGAAACCCCTGACCTAATCCCATTTATTCCTCTCCACTGAAACTCTCCCTCCAGCTTCTTCTCATTCATAACATCCACGCACATTCAGACACCCCACTTTGAAAATTTTCTTATTCTTTTTGGTAATTTTACAGGATTAGGGGTTTCTAGCCCATTGTTCCCGGCACTTTAGTTGACTTTTACAACACGTATGGCTTAGGGAGGAAAGATTCTTATTCCACTTCCCCATGGATATAATAGGAAACAAGAACTCTTAAGATAAAATCAAAGAAAACTCAGATGAGTGTATATAGATAAACATGCACATGTATGTGTAGTGTGACCTAAGTGTAAGTAGAAGTAGCAAGACATACCTGTAATCTTGTATATTTATGAGACAGACAAAAGACAGCAGCAATCCTACCATCATGTAAAACAATTACAGACTTTCGCTTTACACTCACTTGGCAGGACAGTAGTAACCTCCCTGGGTGGTTGCTGTCTACCAACCTACTACTAAATAATGTAGATCTTAATATTATGGATTGCAAAAAGGATTTAGGAGTTCAGGTTAGTAGTAATCTAAAACCAAGACAACAGTGCATTAGTGTTTGCAATAAAACTAACAGAATCCTTTGCTTCATAGCCAGAAGTATAAATAATAGAAGTCCTCAGGTTGTTCTTCAACTCTATATATCTTTGGTTAGGCCTCATATAGATTGTTGCAGTTTTGTTCACCGTATTACAGAATGGATATAAATGCACTGGAAAACATACAGAGGAGGATGACAAAGTTGATCCCATGTATTAGAAATCTTCCCTATGAGGATAGACTGAGGGGCCCTGAATCTGCACTCTAGAAAGGCATAGAATTAGGGGGGGATATGATAGAGGTGTATAAATGGAAAATGGTAATAGAGTTGTGGAAGAGTGGAACAAACTCCCGAGTACCATCATAGACACGAAGATGTTGTGTAGTTTTAAAAAATAGGTTGGATAAATACATGAATGGGTGTGAGTTGGTCCTGACTAGCTAGTGCTACTAGGTCAGATGCACTGCTCCTCCCTTAAGTGATGTGTCTGACCTCACTAGGTCAAGGCTGGTAGGCCTGTTGTAGTGTTCTATCCTTTGATTCTGGTTGTACTGGCATGCTGTCAATGAGAACCTAACTCCCACAAGTTGTTTATGATAAAATTCAGTGTACAGTGATTATATGAAATCATCATTTTTCAAAATTAGTAATTCTTTAGACTTCATTTTGGTTTCATTAATTCTTATTACAAATTCGAGATTCAATACATGTGAAAATCTGCCAAGATTTGTAAAAGATAAAGTAATTCCAAGTTTGCCAACTCTTATTTCTAGTGCAGCATTATTTAAGCCTTTTATTAATTGAAGGGAAATAATCTTCGAAGGGCATGTATATGCTGAATTGCACATCACTGATAAAATTACCAAATGTAGGACTCAGGAATGCAAATTTTCATATCCCTTAACCTGTGTTGTTATATAGATGGCATTGCTCCTACCTATAACAGAATCTGGTGGGGTAAAAATTCCCCATCACTATTGTCAGGTGCTTTTGCTCTTAAATTAAAGTCCTGTAAAGATATTTTGAAGTGGCACATAATTTCAAAATTATCTAGAAAGATTATTATATTAGACTGAAAGATGAGGTGACAGAGCAGACTATAATAAAAAATATTTCCTTTTTCGGTCCCCAGCCAAAAAGAAAGTTCTTTGCGTAACTTTTAGTGTAAAAAACACTTTTTGGGGTTTATATTAGTCTTTTATTAAAAATTTTTCAAAATTTGGGTACATTATTTTTTTAAAAACCAAAAAACAAAAAAAGTAACCTTTACCCGTTTGCGCCAGACAGTCCCAGAGAAAACCCCCTACGGGGTGGGGTTTAAAGGGGAAACATAAATAACGACATAAAATACTGAGGGGAAATTTGGGCAAGGTAAATAAGGACAGAATGTTACAAGGCATTAAAAACTGGGAAAAAATCACAGGTTTTTTTCCTTAGTCATACATTGTCAGGAAGTGGAACATTCTGCAGTGAGGGAAAAGAGAGTGGACCTAGAAGTGACCAGTGAAAAAGGCAGGGCCACAGCTGTGACTCGACCCCCTGCAACCACAAATGGGTAATAACCAGGATGACCTTAAGCAGTTTTTATTATTATTATAACAAAAAGAACGCTAAGCCACAAGGGCATACAGCGCTGCGGGTGGGGAAGGGAAGAAAGGGGAAAATTGGTTGGCGGGAAAGGGAGGGGGGATGATCAGGGGTTACAAAAAAAACAGCGGGCAGGGGATATTTCGGGGGTAGAGGGTAGCAAGAGAAAAAATAGAAAGGGTTTTGAAAGTATAAAATTTTTTGTGAAGTAAGTCAGCCCTTTTGTCAAAAATTTCAATAAGAGAGTCCGGATGAAAGGTGGGTCCATCAGCGAAAAGGGGAAGGTAAAAAAGAACAGCGGGGCAAAGGACGACGACAGGGGGAAAATTTCTGCGGGGTTTTTTTATAAAGGGGGGCATCCAACAAAAAATTGGGGGGTTTTTGGGCTGACTGATAATGGAGTTTTGGAAAATTCCCCACAGAGAGGAGCAAGAGCCTCTCCATGAGAAATCCATGAGTAAGACGATTAGGGCCCCAATTTGCGAAGAGGGAAGAGAGTAGTCCTCCAAACCTCGCCCACTGGGGGATAAAAGACGGCCAGTCCCAATACTGGGTTTAAATAAAATAAAGGTTTTTTTGCCGAGCATAGAAGACCAACGTTTTTTCCCAACGGGTGTGAAGGTGGGAAGATTTTACAGCAAAAAAAAAAAGCCCCCCCCCCCCGTAAAAGGGGGAAAAACCTCTAAAAAAAAACGGGTTAGGTCATGTACTGTAAACCGCGCAGCGGGTTTTCGCCTTTTCATTGCCCATACGTAAACTTTGACCAGGGACCCAACAAAAAAAATATCTTTAGGTTTATTTAAAGATGCGGCGTACCCAAAATTTTGGATACGGGGGCTAAGGGGTGAGGTGATAAAAAATTTTTTGGTATAGCCTTTTAAGAAAAAAAGGGGGTCTGAGACCCCCAAAATGATGACAAAACCAAAAAAGCAATCCCGGATAAGTGCTGAAAAGGAGGGCCCCATAAAATTAAAGCGTAAAAATACTGGGCGAAGATAGAAAATTTCCCTTTACCCGCTGTCCGGAAACACTGCTGCGAATCCACCCCGTCGAAGATTTAAGAGCCTCGTGTACAAAAAGAAAAGGGCATGGAATGAGAGTGAAAAGTGGTCAAAAAAAAAGAGAGGGGAAGGGACCGTAAAACATTTGGGGGTTTTTCGGGGCAAGGGGGGGGAGAAAAAAAACCGCCGGGGAAGGGGGGGCGGGAACTTCCGGGGGGAGGGAAAAAGGGAGACTCCATGTTTGAAGGGGTGTAAAAAAAAGAAAAGGGCGCGAAGGGGGGGGCAAGGGATAAAAAAGGAAGAAGGGAAAAAGGGGAGAGTAAGCGGGGGCGGCAAAACAAAAAAGAATTTTCTAA